TATTATGGCACTAGAAAATGTGCAGACGTGGCCAAAACATTTATAAAAGGAATGGAAGAATTTAGTCACGAAGAAAGATTAGCAAATTTAAATCTGTTTAGTGTAGAAAAACAGCACCTCAGAGGGCATATGATATATTATACAAATATATTCGGGATTTGGTCTAAGGCAAAGGCAAACTTTTTTTTTTTTACAGTAGGAACAATAAGGATGTGGAATCCTGTGCCTGAAGAGGTGGTTTTGTCAGAGTCTGTACAGATGTTTAAAAACAACTTGAAAAAATATAATATGTAGGGATATAATTTTTAATAGATGTGATAACAGCTTCTTCATCCAATCAGAGATCTGACTGACATTCTGGAGTGAAGAAGGAATATTTTTCCTAGTTGGTTGCAAAATTGGAAAGTGCTTCAAACTGAACTTTTTGCTTTAATTTGGATTAATAGCAAACACAGATGTGAGAAATGCTGTATTTGATGGGCTGCACCCATCTGCCGACATCCCAGCAGATAAACCACAAAGGCTACAAGAGAAGATTCAAGGTCGGTACCTGAGGAAAATATATCTCCATCCAGGGTGACCGCATTGACCAAAAATTTCTTAGTTGTTTTATGAATAGCAGCTGTCAACTTTTTATTTTAACGAGATAACATACCTTAACATATCTGTCTTAGATTTGAGGGGGTTACCTCGAGAAAATGCAGGGATATGTAATAGAGACGTGATTGACTTCCCTCAGAGGAGAGATCACCTGCAAGCCTATATTGTTTCCAGAGTCCCAGATAATGTTGTAGGGAGGGTCTAGGATTAACGAGTGTAGTGCTAGGATGCCACATAACATGAAATTTCCATACTACAAAATCACCCAGCATGCCCTTTCTGTGGTCAAGTTGATTTTTTTACCAAAATTATAATTGGTAAACAAATGTACACCTGATAGTTTACCCAATCTCTTAAGCTTGTGCAAAATCAATTTCTAGAATCTACCTTACTAGCTTACTAGCCAACAAATCAGAGTGCTCTGATAGTGTAGTACATTTTGCCACATGTTGTAATACCTGACAGTGTCAGTAAGCCTTTATAAAAGCTTTCCCCGTTATTAGAGCTCAGTTTGCGGTAAGCTCTTGCAAGGTTAAGATTAATTATTTTTATGACGGGTTTTTTTGTGCAATAGGTTTTTTATTTGAAGGAGTTGCATCACAGGATCATGGATTTTTATTTGTACTTTTTTGTGGCTGAAGATAAGAATTAGAAGAAAGAAGTATAACCTCACTATTATCAGGATGACAGCTACCCAAGCATTTGGGCTGGGTGTGCACAAGGTCCTCCCCCCAGAACATTATTATTAAGGTCTTCATCCAACATAAATAAGTGGGGGCCCAAGGGAGAACATTTCTCAATTCTCTGTTATTTAAAATCAAATTTTCCCCCCAGTCATTGAAGCCCAAGTCAAACTTTATTTGGCTGTGACTCTAACAGCCGGCATAAATTTTTTTTTTCATTTTCAAACAGATCATAAAAATATGTTTTTATCTACTGCTCTGTAAAGTGTAAAAACTATAATTTCACACAGTAAGCGTATGCAGGGTCTAGCAGATTATTAATAAAACAGTAGATGGGAAATTCTAAATGAAACAGACTATGCAATAAAGGAAATTTAGACATTAGATATCTCTTTTCAGGAAGTGTTTAGGAAACGCTGTGTAAATCACATGCAGGGAGCTGTTACTACAGCTGTATAACAAAGTGATTTAACTCATAAATGGCAGAGACTTGAGCAGGGAGACAGCATGGGCTTGGTCTGGATACCAAAACTGCTTCATTAATCTATTAAGCTAAAGTTATTTTCCCACTGATAGCATCTCTAACATGCCTTGTACACTAAACACATTTAAATAACAACACTGTAAAGATGAACATACCCAAGTGAAAGTTGAATGTTCCACTTTAAGTTTTGTATATCTAAGTACCAGTTTATATGTATGCTTATTTGATGGTTTGAAGGTTAAAATGGTTAACTAGTGCGAAACAGGAAACTAATTGAATATGTTGCCTAAAGGTAGAGATCAGTAGGTAGAACACTAAAGAATTAAGGTTGATTAGGCAAAACAGAATGGTTTAATTGATGACAGTCTCCCTGGTGGATGATGAAAAAGTGTCTTCCTATTGAGACAGCTGCCATCAGCTGAGTGATTAATGGGTGTGAGTTCTGACTTAATCTTCGGAGCATCAGTTGCTCGGCTGTAACGATATGATGGGGTGTTCTCCTGAGTACATTTGTATGTGACTCACTGGTATAGTAAATGTGTCATCTAGTCACTCAGCTAAATATTAGACTGCCAGAATTTACACCTTTGTTTTCTTTAAAGATGCATTACGCAAAGAAAAAAAAAATGGTTGGCAATCACAGAGGTGTTTTGCAGGCATTGCTGGAAGGCAGGCGAGTTGACATGACTGACTGATTGATTTGTAAATGCTGAGAATCTGTACAAGCCAATACTTATCAAACTGCCTTCTTTTTCAGCTGGAACTTTGAAAGAATGTGATAGTGAAAAGCAAAGCATCTCTACATCTTATTAATCTAGTTGGGCTAAGCTGTTATCCATATACCTAATATAAAGCTAACTTAGAAACTGGCAATGATGAAAACCAGATTAACAGAAAAAACAGAATATGACAATAAAATTATGGGAAGCCTGTAAATATAGAGATAATGCTGACCTAATTATTTCTTTATTCTTGTTTTAGTCATTAATCCTAAAAAGGCCCTAACTGAGAATACCCCCATACTAAAGTCAGTGTGAGAATAACTTAACTTGAATAAAGTTTGAGGCTGCAAAAACTGAAAAAAATATCTTAGATGGACACAATGCATCGTCTAAACTTTTAGTACATGTTAGCCTTTGGCCTAATTATTTAGCTTAGAGTTTTGTGATGAACATGTTTTATGGATGTTTCAAGAAAGTAAGTGTTTTGCAGAATTAATTCTGTCTCCTCTGCCCCATGTCCTCCATTCTAAAATATCTCCTTTTTGCTGGTTACTAAAATTGAGTACTCGCTGTTTATATTTATCCCTCAAAAACTGCAGTGTTTATCTGTTTTCTCAGTAGGTATGCTAAACACTTTTCATAATTAAATATATGACAACAAAACTACAACTTCAACAAAGCACATCTCAAAAAAATCTTGCTGTGCCTGGTTTTGAATAGTTTAATAGAAAGTTATTGATACATCCTGATTTACTTATCCTTTTCTAGGCAGTGCTAATTTACCATTTGAAAATCTACTGAAGCAACTTCAAACATTCATTAATTTTGACTTACTATTGATTGGATCTTTTTGATTAAATTGTTCATGGGAGGATCATTATCAAAAGACCCTTTTCTACCTCCACTAGTCTATGCATTGTAAAGGTGCAGTGGCTCTGCCCAGGATTTATTGCAAGTATTTACAGCATACACAATATAAAAGTTTTGTTCTCATAGCCCTTTATGTATGTAAAATGTCACCAAAGTGAGAAACAATGACTTTCCCCATCCACCACTCACCAAAACAAAGTTGAGTGTACTTTCCACCACTGAACACTGAGTCCGTAGGATCCAACAACAGCTCATAAATAGTGATGTCCCGAACTGTTCGCCACGGACTCCAGTCAGCTGACACATTCCAGCCAATCAGCAGCAGACCCTCCCTCCCAGACCCTTCCACTTCCTGGACAGCATCCATTTTAAAGCTGCATTCTTAGTGAGCTGTCCAGGAAGTGGGAGGGTCTGCTGCTGATTGGCTGGAATGTGTCAGCTGACTGGAGTCCGCGGCGAACCGTTTGTGGCGAACCGTTCGCGAACCGTTCGGCGAACAGTTTAAGACATCACTACTCATAAACATCACAGCGTCACATCATAGATGTCAAACTACACATACACAATTCATTGAATCTATTGCTGGCGCCACAAAACACCAGAATTTTGCAACTATATGGCATCATGGTTGGGATATTGGATTTTTGTGAACCTTTTGTAATATATAGAACACTCATATTATTGGAAAAGCATTCAGTAGGAACTTTCATTGTTTTTCAATGATGATGGCATCTTGTAAAGCTCTCTCAAAATTCACATTTATCAGATTTCAATATTTTATAGTTCCACTTAATGAGTAATTTCTTCTTAACAAGTCTTGATAGTCTTGAATTTAGAACCACAACCAAGCCGCCTTTTGAGCCCTTTTCCCTCTTTAACTAAGTCCTCCTACACCAACCCCAGTGTGGCACCTTCTACTACCCAGTGCATACATATTGCTTATGCATTTTTTCTCTTTTCTTTTCCAATGTAAGCAAGGGGTACCACCCCTTTCATATGTATCTCTTTTGTCTATACCCTAATTATCTTTAGCCTAATTTGCATAGTCCTTTTTTAAAATATTCATCCTCAATTTAATCTTTGTCCCAATTATCTCTCACAAGATTTAAGTTAACTTATTAAGTCAAATATACACTACTGTTTGTAACCATTATATGTTCTTTCTCTGAATATTTATGTTTCTTGACATGCAACATGTTTTTCCAAGCATATGTTCAACGTTTCTATCACTCTTTAATTAGAATAGTTATGTTTAGTGGTCATACATCAGCACTTCATAAATGTTAAGGCTTGGCCTGCAGTTGTGGGAGGGGCATGGTACCTATTTAACCCCCCCCCCTACTCACCTTCGCCCGTACGTTTTTAGCGACTCGCATGTCGCTGTTTCCGGTCGCAACCCGCTCCCTCGTGGTTCTCCTTACCTGGCCTGCCGTTTTTCCCCCGCCGGTTTCTTTCCGTCCACGGTCATTTTGTGCGTATGCGCGGTGAGTCTTCTGTATCTTTCCCCCGGGTGTTTCTGGACAGGGGTATTGGCAGCAAGTCCAGCTTACCTGTCCATTTGTGGGGGACGTGTTTGCGTGTCGGGCAGTGGCACGGTTTCGGTGAGTGCTGATCTCTATTTCCCGTTTCATGTACTTTCAGTCCGCGGGCTAGCTTCACTGCAGAGCGGGGTTGGGGTAGTAGCTCTGCTTCTTGTCCTCCACGTCGCCCCCTACAGCCCTGGCTCTTGTGGAGTCGGCCCGGCTACGACTCTGCATGTCTCTTTCTGCCTCCCTTGCTGTTAACCCCCTCGCTGCCTACGCCGCTTTCACTCGTGCACGATTTCACTCACTACCGAACATGCGCCCATGTGGCTGCCCCGCTTACCATCTCCGGTACTTTTCACTCACCTGTTAGTTCACATCAGGCCACGGTGTTGTAATATTTCCCTCCGCTTCCCATTCATCCTTTGTCCTATATATTTTACATGGTATGTTGCATAGTGCTCTTTCCTGTGTCGGAGGCACAGTCCTTTCAAACAAACACTCATCAGAGGGTGCAGGAGCCTGTGAGTGACAAAGTAAGTGCCTGCTCCCCAACTGTAGGCTAGGACTCGCCATACTTAAATTGTCAGCGTCTTGGGAAGACTCCAACTACAAATCCCATGATCCTTTGTATGCACTCTAAAGTTGGGTATCCAAATTGAACGGGAAGGTGTAAACCCAACAGTTTTTGCACAATATTGATATGGCTTCATTCTTCTGTAATCTTATTCTTAAACTGAAAGGACTACATATTTTCTCCCATGCCAACAGCAAATGGATATTGCTTTTCTCTCTATTTTCTGTAAATATTATTAACCCCTCTGATGTCTAATGTGTACACGCTGAATATTATGAAGCGTGAATTATTATAACCTATGTTAATATATAACATCTGCAGCATCCAATCCTTTTAGTTTTTTTGTTTTTGTTTTGTTTTTGTTCTTTCCTCTGGACAGTATGGTTAGCTGGTGTAGGTTTTATTTTCTATTTTCGTTTGCTTTCCCCCTTTATATGCGAAGTAAAGATAATAATATTATAAAACAAATCTCCGCCCGCAATGCCTCTCTACACAACTACACTGTCTCCCTCAATCCAGTCTTTGCATATGGGAATTTAAATTGTGCAGGGGGATTTTTCGTTTTGGATGGGCCGCGCCTGCCCGCCATGCAGCTTCATTATTTTTCCCGGTCGGACCTTTACGTTTTTCGCTACCAAGTGCACGTTTCTGGCTTTTTTCTGACCTCCGTGGTTTCTACACGCGTTTGCACATTCTTTTTCCTACTTGCATACTCCATACAGCCTGTCTGCCTCCGTCAGGGTCGCTCTGCCCTCCAGTTACGGTCAGCCCTACAATTCTTCCTCGTTTTTTTTTGTTTGTTTTTTTTTTCAATCGCACAGTACGTCCACTCTCTCACTCGTTACCCCTCCCCTCTTAGTTAGATGTTGCTGGCGGTCAGGGTCCTAGTTGTCCACTAGTTGTAATTCCCCCTGGCTTCTTCTTTGACTTAGGTTAGTGGCCCCGCGAGGCCAACACCCATCCTCATGCTCTGAGGTATTAAGCCCCTCGGGCCAAATCATAGTTAGTCGCCTCGCATTGTGGCATAGGGAGGGCCTCACCTGTCACTCCCATTCTATCTTATGTTTAGCTGTCACCGAGAGGCCGACACCCCGCCACAACGTTTCCGTGGCCACGTTCTCCCCTCGCGCCAACTCATAGATAGAGCCTCTCACGCCGCTTGGCATCTAGCAGGGCCTCACCTGTCACCAAACCTAGTTTTAATTGTTTCGCCTTTTGGCTTAGCTAGTATGCCAGCACTCCCACACACGCATACACACTCGCACCGGGTCTCGTGACCCCCTAGGGAGCTTACACCAACATGTTGCCTACTGACAGGCTTGCTCCATCACCCTGTCCACCTGGCCTCTGACGTGCTTACTCTGTCTTCGGTTATGGACTGCCCTGCAGTATTTCCTCGTTCTCCCTCATGTTTTTTCGATACACGTTTCAGCACATCCATCCTCTTTCACACTACCTTCCCTCCGCTCTTAGTTAGCTGTGGCTGGCTGTCAGAGTCATAGGGTCCACTAGTTTGTAATTCCATCCCCCCGGCTTCTTCGCCTTGTGTTAGTGGTCCCGCGAGGCCAACACCCATCCTCATACTCGGAGGTACTACGCCCCTCGGGCCAAATCATAGTTAGTCGCCTCGCATTGTGGCATAGGGAGGGCCTCACCTGTCACTCCCATTCTATCTTATGTTACCTGTCACCAAGAGGCCAACACCCCGCCACAACGTTCAGTGGCCACATTATCCCCTCGCGCCAACTCATAGTTAGAGCCTCTCACGCCACTTGGCATCTAGCAGGGCCTCACCTGTCACCAAACCTAGTTTTTAATTGCTTCGCCTTTGGTATTAGCTAGTATGCCAGCACACATACACGTACACATACTCACACTCACAGACACTCACGCATCGGGTTGCTTATGCGCTGCCTATTCGTTTTTATTTTTTTTATTTTACTTTGCTGTGGTTCTCGAGAGTCCCTGCCCCCCCCCCCCAGCTGCCTTTCGGACAGCTGAACTCTCAGTCCGCACTTCACAGGTAACGCTGTTGCTGGTGGGGGTCCCCGAGTTCGCTCTTACTTCTCCGTTTTCGCCACCTGGTTGTCTTCGCTGCTGTCGTCTATGGGACGATGTCGGATGGCAGTTCGGGGTAACTGGCATCTGCCGCTTTGGCTGGTTCCGATCAGATTTCACATCAACATCCAAGTATCTCATTCACTATCAGACTTATTAAATGCCTGTCTCTACGGACCGGGCATTAACATGCAATGTAGGGCAATTAACTGCTTGATCCAAGGAATATCTGACTGCCGTTATGGGGTCAAGAAGGAATTTTTTCCCAGCTTGTTGCAAATTGACAGCGCTTCAAACTGGGTTTTTCGCCTTCTTTTGGATTAACCGTTTAAACACAATCGTGAGGAAGGCGGTACTTGATGGGCACTAGTCACTTTAACTTTGTAACCTAGTTGTTGTGCCACTATTCCTGTTTCCACAGTTTCTTGGGTCTCCCATACTTTCCCACAGCAACCACGTTCTTTCAGCATTATCTTAGGAAGTCTCACCTATTCATGCAGTCTACTGATTATCTTCTCTACCCCGCATTTATTCTACCCTGGGGGGCCAACACGTTTAATATATCTTACCTCCCCTTGCACAATTCAGAGTGCCGGTTAAAGTGCTGGGCAACTATTTACTAGCTCGGCATTTACCACACAGCTGGACAATTAGGTTTTGTTGATTGTTTTTCATTTCTGACAGGTACCCAATTTTTGCCCTGTTTTATTACAGGCCTACCGCGAACCTGGTCTATATGTCAATATGTAGTTAAAACGAGTTAGAAAAAGAGACCATCTGGCTTGTCTAGCAGAAAGACGTTTGGCTTCTCCAATATGACAGGTTTTTATGATCTGTAAGGATAGTCACGGGAAGAACTGTACCTTGTAATAAGTGATGCCATTCTTTTAGGGCTAGAATTATGGCAAGGAGTTCTCTGTCTCCAATGTCATATTGTCTTTCTGCATCAGATAACCTCCTTGAATAGAACCCGCAAGGGTGTAGGGGTAGATCAGGACTTGGTCGTTGTGACAACACAGCTCCTACACCAGTCTCGGATGCATCTACCTCTAACAGAAAGGGGAGGCTAGGAATGGGGTGTACTAAACCAGGAGTTGATGCAAAATAAGTTTTGAGTACCTCAAAGCGTTTAAAGCATTAGTCTCCCATTTCTTTGGATTCATTCCTTTTTTAGTCGTGTTCGTTATGGCAGTGACTATGGGCGTAAAACTCTTTAAAAATCGTCTATAATAGTTAGCAAAGCCTATAAACCTCTGAATAGCCTTTAACCCATTAGGTAATGGCCATTGGAGTATGGAATCCAATTTTTTGGGATCCATCGGAAATACTTTTTCGGAAATCACATACCCTAGAAAGTTGATTTGGTGTTGATCGAAAAGGCATTTTTCAAGTTTACAAAACAGTCCATTTAGTAACAATCTAGATAAGACCTTTTAACTTGTCTATGATGAGTTTCCCTGTCTTTAGAATAAATCAGTATATCATCCAGGTAAACTATGACACAGTCTTGAAGAAAATCTCTTAACATGTCATTGATAAAATCTTGAAAAACAGCCGGGGCGTTACACAACCTGAAAAGCATAACAGTATATTCATAATGCCCAAAACGGGTGTTGAATGCTGTTTTCCCATTCATTACCTTTTCGTATTCTCACAAGATTATATGTTGCTCTAAGATCTAGCATGGTAAATATCTTGGCTTCCTTGAGTCTATCAAACAAATCAGTGATTAGAGGTATAGGGTAAGCATTACGTATTGTAATCTTATTCAATCCTCCATAATCAATACAAGGTCTAAGGTCACCCTCTTTTTTAGACACAAAGAAAAACCCAGCTCCTGCAGGAGAAGACCTCCTAATAAAACCTTTTCTTAAATTCTCTGTAATACACTCCTCTGAAAGTTTTCCTTGGCTGAAAGAGGGTAGACTGTACCTTTAGGAGGCATAGTACCATCACGAAGATTAATGGCACAGTCATAGGATCGGTGTGGAGGTAACAACTCTGCTTTTCCTTTATCGAATACTGCCTTTAAGCCTACATAGGGTTTGGGTGCGTCAGTGGATAAAGGAGGCTACTAAAGACCAGTAGTTTATAAGACCAGTAGTGCGTACTTTCATAATACAACTCTGTTGACAACTTGTACTCCAGTATACAATATCACCTTTTTTCCAATCATTGGGTTGTGTTTTATCAACCAGGGTAATCCTAATACCACCGGAAAAGACGGAGAGGAGATAAGTTGAAATACATCTGTAATCAACTGCAAGGGAATGGTCTCACAGAAAATCACAGGCACTGACAGTGGTCTACCATCTATGGCCTCAATGACCAAGGTTATATTCCTTAACCTGGAAGGAATTGATTGTGAAGTAGCAAAGTCTATATCGATAAAACTTTCTGCTGCCTCTGAATCAATCAACGCCATAGTCTGTACTATTATTTTCCTAGATTAAGGTGATGGGGATTATAAACCTGTGATCTTGCTGTTTTTTGAAGGAGGACAAGAGAAAACACCCAAGGCCCGTCCTCCGCTGGAACTTAGGTGCATGAGTTTTCCGGCCTGTTTGGGCAATGCAGGCGGAGGTGTCCTCTTTGTCCGCAGTACATACATAAACCCTCTCTCCTTCTGTACTGTCTCTCTGCTTCGGATAACCTAGTAACCCCGACTTGCATAGGTTCAGGTAAAGCCAAAGCCATTGAATCAGGGGGATTAAATGTGGGAGCCAAACGGACAGACGCTCTCCTAAGACGGCCTTGAGTATCCTGTCTGAACTGCATGCTTTCGTCAATATGAGATATAAAAGATATTAATTCTTCTAAATTCTCTGGGAGTTCCCTGGTAGTTATCTCGTCTAATATTACATCGGATAAATTATTGAGAAACACGTCTACAAATGTTTGGTTGTTCCAAGCTGATTCAGCGGCTAAAGCATAATCGACCAAGGATCTAGTACCCTGTTTTAGACGTAGTAAGGATCTGACAGCATTAGCCTTCCTACCAGGAGGGTCATAATTGTGTCTGAATGCAGCTACAAAAGCAACATCATTACATACCAACTGGTTTTCATTTTCCCAGAGATGATTGACCCAGGTTAACGCTTTATCGACTAATAGGGTTATGATAAAACCAACCTTAGATCTATCAGTCAGATAAGAACAAGGTTGTAATTCGAAATGGATGCTAACCTGGTTCCAAAAACCCCGACAAGCATCAGGTGTACCACCATAACGTAATGGTGATGTAATAAGTGAGGAGGCCCCAACAGAAGCAACCTCTAAACCTGAGGGCACCGGAGTTGGGACAGGATTACGACCTTCCTCTGGACTGGGGTTGGGTCTGTTCATGAGGGTTTGAAGGGCTGATGCTATTTGGTCCATACGATGGTCCATTTCCTCAAAACAGGTATCATATGGAGCCCCTTGAGCACCTACACCTGCAGGATCCATAATGGCCCTGTTGTAATGTTAGGATACTGAGATCCAACACACAGAATGTAGATACAAAGTAACGTATACCGGACCTTAGAATGGTCGGACTAACGTATAAGCAAAAGGGGTAGTGAAATTCAATCCGAGGTCAAGGAGCACAGAAATCAGGACAAGCGAGTAAGCCAAAGCCGGGTCAAGGAGTATATAAAGCAGAATAGTCACAAACAAAGCCAAGGTCAAAAGCTAGAAGACAAAATACTGAATACAGAATAGCACTATTGGGACCAAAAATTAACCACAACAGGGCAAGGAACCTAACTCATGGATACCTTTTATACTGTGGCTGTAGCTTGTTAGGACGGTAGCCACGTCCCCAAAACAGCATAATTCAAATATTCTGGCAGCACGTGATGTCATTTGCGTCATGACTTCGACGACCCTTTTTGCGTCATAAAAAGGGGCGGAGCTACCACAGCCGGTATGAAAACGGCTGGAGGAGGAAGGGGAGAGCTGTAGAGGACCTGCAGCAACATCTGAGAGGGGACCCTGACAGTTATAAATAGAACATTAATGTGGTTTTATTTTGTGTCTTAATTTTAAGTAAAGCTTAGTTGATAATTTGAAAAATAAATTAAAAAGAATTATGTTTCAAATAGTTTAACTTGGTTTACACACGTTATTTGTGATTTTATTTTTGAAACACATTTTCCATTTATAAACGGGAAAAAAAAAATCACAAATATAGCAAAGAAAATGTAAGCATAATAATGCTGTTTTTTGGGGTCTCTAAATTGGGAATGGACAATGACATTACAATAGCTGCAAAATAATAAAGTTAAAAAACAAATCTCCTGAGTCATTATTTTTCTACTTTGATCGTAATCGGTTTGTGCTAAATATTGTTACATACCAATGAGACAATATTTTGCTTATTGCAATCCAATTCATGAGCCCAGGGCCTTAAGTAAAGACAGATCCCTGAACTGGTGTGACCGTAGGGTCAAATTCACCATGACAGCGGAATCATGGAATAATGTAATGTTCCATTTGGTGATGTGGGGGAATTGCTCCAGTTCCCATCTTCCTGCTTGGATGACTTTAGAATGTAGAGCAACAACTAACAAAAACAAAAAAAGGTGTCACAATTAACAGAAATAGAGGAGAGAAGAGGGCCAGTTTCAGTTGGGATCTAGATTACTTGAAACAAACTAAATTAATAAAGAAATGTTCTAAATGTGCTGTACTGCAGCTCAAAATGAATAAATAACTGTAGCTATTAACAAAAGTAAATACATATTAACCCCTTAGTGACCAGCCGTTTTTAAATGTTCTTACCGTTAGGGACCAGGGCCGTTTTTACATTTCTGCAGTGTTTGTGTTTAGCTGTAATTTTCCTCTTACTCCTTTACTCTGCCCACACATATTATATACAGATTTCCTCACCATTGAATGGTCTTTCTAAAGATACCATTATTTTTATCATATCATATAATTTACTATTAAAAACATAAAATATGATGAATTTTTTTTTTTTTTTAAACCTTTTCTAACTTTGTCCCCCAAAATCTGTTACGCCTCTACAACCACCAAAAAACATCCATGCTAAATAGTTTCTAAATTTTGTCCTGAGTTTAAAAATACCCAAGGTTAACATGTTCTTAGCTTTTTTTGTGTGCAAATTATAGGGCAATAAGTACAAGTAGCACTGCTATTTCCAAACCTTTTTTTTTT